GGGAAAGTGCAGTAGAGAGGAGAATTGGGGTGGGCTGCTAGTGGCAATGTTGGATGTAAGGGAAGATCTGGGATCGAGTCCCCCTCCCAGCTCTGTTTCCCTTGCAACCCTTCACATTCTGGTTCTGTTTGTCTGGTTCCCCTACTTCCAGTCTCTCTTTGGGTATGTCTACACTACCCCACTAGTTTGAACTAGCGGGGTAATGTATGCATACCGAACGTGCAAATGAAGCCCGGGATTTGAATTTCCCGGGATGTAAGGGAAGATCTGGGATCGAGTCCCCCTCCCAGCTCTGTTTCCCTTGCAACCCTTCACATTCTGGTTCTGTTTGTCTGGTTCCCCTACTTCCAGTCTCTCTTTGGGTATGTCTACACTACCCCACTAGTTTGAACTAGCGGGGTAATGTATGCATACCGAACGTGCAAATGAAGCCCGGGATTTGAATTTCCCGGGCTTTATTTGCATAAGCCGGCCGGCGCCATTTTTAAAAGCCGGCTTGTTCGAACCCCGTGCCGCGCGGCTACACGCGGCACGGGCTAGATAGTTCGGACTAGCAAGCTATTCCGAACTATCTGTACATCTCGTGGAAGCGGGGTAGTGTAGCGGGGTAGTGTAGACATACCCTTTCTCTCTCTCTCTCTCTGCAGGGCCCTGATGCTCATGTCCAAGAGCAGCTTCCAACCCCCTAAACTGAAAGATAAAGCACATTGGTGAGTGTTGCTGCCAGCCTCTCCCAGCAGGAGCTGTTGTGGGGAACAGGGAAAAGTGGGGGTGGGGGGGGTTCCCAGCAACTCCAGCCCTGGCCTTTCCCTGCAAGAGGCACTAGAGGGAGCAGGCCAGGAGTTCTGGGGTTGGAGTTAGAATTCTGTTTTAAAAGTGATGGAGAATTTGGGGGACTTGAAAGGGCTGGGGTCTCCTAAGGAATGTAGGGGGATTTGCTAATTCCCCCTTTGCTGCCCAGGACCCCTGAATTCCACCACTTCCTCAAACTGGCACTGACCAAGAACCCCAAAAAGCGACCCACAGCAGAAAAGCTGTTACAGGTGAACTAGCTGAAGGGATTGGTGACTGAGCAGGGGTGTAATTGGAGTGAAGAGTTTGGGAGGCGTTGGGGATGGTGACTGAGCAGGGGTATAATTGGAGTGTAGAGTTTGGGAGGCGTTGGTGTGGAAGGAGCTACTGGGGAGACTGTACTGCAGTGGGGGGCAGGGTGTGTGTCAGGGAAATGGGGGTTCAGGGTGACAGGGTTAGGGTGTGGTGAGTGGGAGGAGATGGGGAGCAGGTGGGGCAGTGCAGGGTGTATGCGTAGGGGTGCTGGGGGCAGTGGGGATGTGAAGTGTCTGGGAAAGATCAGGGCAGTGGGTGGGGATGGGAGGGAGAGTGGGGGTGGGGAAATGGGCATGCTGTGTAGGACAGTGGTGCAGCTGTCTGGGGGGGACCATTAGTCTCCAAGTTTCAGGGCCCTGACCCCTTTCCCCCCAGCACCCCTTCACCAGCCAGCCCCTTGCCCGTGCCCTGGTCATCGAGCTACTCGACAAGGTCAACAGCCCTGACCTGGCTGCCCCCTCCCTGGATGATGGAGACTTTGAGGTATCTGCCCTTTGGGAGACTCTAGGATCCCCCTTTATGCCCCTGACCCCTCCAGCCTTTATGGGCACTGACCCACCACCCTGCAGCAGGCTTATCTCTGTCATTGGGCTTGGTTACCATGACAACCAATGGGAGGCAGCCTGGATCCTATGACTCTCCACCCAGTGCCCATCTGCCCCTCCCTGCATTAAGCTGAAGTCTGTTGCCCTGAGATGATGGGGTGTAGTAGAAATGTTCTCATCCTGGGGGGGAATTTTACCCGCAAATGGGCCGCCTTGTGTACCTTGCCCCACTGGGTGTGTGGGGTCTCTGGGGGCTGCCACGTTGGCACTTACCACCTCCCCCCGCATTACAATCCAGCCTTACAGCACAATCAGCTGGGCCTACTTCTGTGAACTTCCTGGAAAGCGGGGCGGGGGGTGAAGTGGGAGGGTTGGGGGCTTAAAAAAGACTATAAGTAACTCCTCCCTGTCTCCCTGCAATTCTGCCTGAATGTGAGCCCTCCCAAAACTCCTCACTGCCTTTCTTCCCCACCTCCATTCTTTCCTGTAAGGCTTATGACATCTTCCCAGACAAAATCCATTCCCGTGGGGCACATGGCCAGGCAGAACGGACTCTCTCCGAAATCCAGTGTAAGTCTTCCCCAGCTGGGGAGCACTCTTGCTGCCCCCAGACTGGTGTACCAAGATCCAAGTGCCCTAGCACAGTTATCCCGCCATGCATGCTGTTTATTTGGGGATCCACTGCATGGTGCTGAGATGCAGCTGCCTGTGGGGTGTGGAGGCACTTGAACATCACACAGCAAGGCTATACAACGGCTTAGGAAAATGAAGATGAATCCTGAATCCAACTGGAATGGTGGGGGAAGTGGTAGGCAAAAATAATGGAGCGTCTCAGAGCTGGGATTTGGTCACAGTCTTCAAAAAGCAAGAGTGGTTAGCAGCAGGACTGTTTGCCTCACCCCTAAAATTATAGCCAGTGCCTCTCTCTAGTACTAGCTGCTCTGGAGCCCAGCGGGGAATGAAGTGTGCCTCAGTCAGCAGATGAGCCAATTTTGTATTATTTGATTTTCAGTTAATCAAATTAAATTCGGGCCCCCACTGAGGAAAGAAACAGAACCGTATTGTGGTCTGGTGAGTGGAAACACCATTAATTCTTTGCCTCTCCCAGCAGGGTGCACCGTGGGCAGCAGGGCAGGAGCTACCTGTGTGGGGAGCTCCTGGCTACTCCAGACCCAGCCTCACCCAGCAGGGTGTGCTGTGGGCAGCAGAGCAGGAGCTAGCTGTGGGGGGAGTACCCAGCTACTCCAGTCCCTGCCTTGCCCACCAGGTGGTGCATTAGGGACAAAAGCAGGCGCTTACTGTGTGGGGAGCACCCAGCTGCTCCAGCCCTGGCTTTGCCCAGCGGGGGGCGCTGTAGGGAGCTGGTAACTCCATATGGATTACAAGTCTTGTCCTTCCCCAGAGGGAAGAGGAGGATGATTGGACATTGCTAGGAGCTGAAGAGTAAGTATGTATCCTTGGGAAGGCTTGATGGACTCTTGGGTTCACAATTCAGCCTCTCCTTGTCCCACCTGGGAGTGTCACAGTCCTCAGCATGACGGGTGCGGCATGGGGAACTGAGCAGTGCCTCCTACTGCACAGGGGGTGGACGGCTCTACACGGGGTAGATAGGCAGTAGGAATGTGAACAGATAACCGGTTACCCTCATGCTTATCAGGTAATAGTTAACTGCCACTCAGCAGCAGCCCCCTGCCTGCCATAGGTGAAGAGCTGCTACAGTTCCACCAGGCCCACGGCGCTGAAGGCCTTGACGGGAGTGGCAGCACTGCACAGGACCAGAAGTGGCTGCTCCAGCTGGGCTGGAGCAGTCCCCTGCTTGGGATCCTGCTTAATCTGTTAACCAGTTAAACTTCACATTTAACTGGTTAACTGATTAAATGGGATTATATATCCCTAGTAGGCAGTTTAGTTAGCTCTAAGGGTGGGGGTGGCTTTGACACTGGGTTTGCAGTGCTGTGCATTAATAGCTCACTGGGCTCTAGTGGGTTACAGCAGGGGAGGCTGGGAGCCAGGATGCCTGGGTTCTATCCCAGCCCTGGGAGGGGAGTGGGGTCTAACAGGTTGGGGGCAGGTAATGTATGGTCTGTATTCCTACCCTTTTTCCTTGTCTTTAGGAGTCTCCTGCAGTCTGTGGAGGAGGCGCTGGAGGAAAGGTAAAGCTGAGACTCAGAGTGGGGCAGGCAAAGTGTGGGGGGGAGGGGGAGAAGGAGTCTCTTCACCTAACACCAAGCTGTAGAGATCAGGTAATTTTGGGGGGAAGGGTAGTAATGCAGGGTCCCTGCCCTCACACAGTGAGTTTTAAAAGCATCCTTGCCACTCCCCCCTCAGAGAGATGCACCTGGTGTGTGTGCAGCTGGAGTTGGCACTCTGGCTGTTTTGAAGGGTAGGGGCAGCAGTGTGAACTCCGCTCTCTTCAGCTGCTTATTATGCCTCCCTTCTCAATCCCAGGTCTGGAATGTGGCAAGGATGAATGTCATTGACCCACAGTATGCACTTGGAAACTCCTAGAACAGGGAATTCCTACACCCAAGGGCCCCCGCTTTTACTCACATGAGGGGCTGCCTTTCTCTGAGCCTTGCCCCAGACCCTTCTCTTTCTTTCCCTTACAGGAGCTTGACCATCCGCCCAGTGTCTGGACAGGTAAGTTCTTCTATACACATCTCTCCAGGCAGCTGCCTGCCCTGGCATACGTCTCCTCCCATTCTGTGTCTATCTCTATGCCTAGGTGGCCATGCCAAAGGATCAGCCTGTGGACTCCCACTGTGTCCCAGAGAATGAGATGGGAACAATCAAGAGGGCATTGCTTTGGGACCTGATGAATTGGGAGCTGGGGGGCATGGAGCCTGGGGCTGGCTCAGAGACCATGAAAAGACAGACACCAGCAGGTACCTAGGTTTGACAGGATTGGGGGGATTGGCTGGTTCAAAGAGGCAGGAAATGGGATATAGCACTTTTGCCCTCTAAGGGGCACTAGCTGTATTGAGGCCCCAGGTCTGCAGTGAATGGAAGATCCTACCTGTGATACGAGTTGGTCAGATGTCACTCCATTGATCCCTAGCATGATGGGGCTCCCATCACATTGACCTCCTTACTAGCAGAGAAGCAGGGGACTGAACTGACTACTAGGACTTCCCTCACATCATGACCTTAAAACGGGGGGAAGGGCGGAGGACACATGGGGGGGCAGTGTGTGTCTGACTATGGGGGTGCCCAGAGGAGCCCCTACCATAACTATTGCAGGGGATACCATGGCCATTTAAGCCCCACAGTCTAATCCAGGTGTGGTACAAGGATCTCTGGTGGGGGGCTGAGAACTGCGAATGGAGGGATCTGTTGCAGGGAGGATCCCGTTGCCAAACCGGGAGGAGGCTGCCGGGGCAGAATTCTCTCTGATTGGTGGGTACTGTGTGTGTCCCCCACCTCCAGGCAGCCCAGAGTCAGGTGACATCCCAACCCCCTTGCACACTGGCTCCCCAGAGCCTGCAGTATCCCTGCTTTCCACCGAATGGGCCACCATGAAGAGGAAGGAGGAGACAGAGGTAGGTGCAAACCACCTGGGAAACAGGCCGGGATAGAAAGAGGAGGGTAAGAGATTAGGGGGAAGCCTGGTGGTCATGGATTGATGTAAAATCCTGTTTAATTGGCTAACCAGTTAAACATACTGTTTGACCATTTGACCGATTAAAGGGGAGCAAGCTGGGCTGGAATGCCTCCCAACCCCCATTGCAGGTAAGGGTGCTCCCGCCCAGCCAGAGCAGTCCCTATCTGCAGCAGATCCCCCATTTGGCTGGAGCAGGCCCCTGCCCATGGCAGGCAGAGAGCTGCTCCAGCCCCATTGGTTAACCTTAACCGGTAAGCCTCACCAGTTAAGGGTGAGGCTTACTGGTTAACCAGTTAAACCTTCACATCCCTAGTTCATAGGCAACAAAGCAGCGGGACTCCTGGGTTATCTCTGTCACTCTGGGAGGGAAGTGGGATCCAGGCATTAGGGCATAGAGCTGGGAGTCAGGGCTCGTGGATTCCAGTCTGATGTTGGTTGGTTGGTGCCCCAGTGCTCTTGTTGCCTCTCAGTTGGCATGGGCAGCTAGTGTCCTTATTTGGTGGTGTCTGGTGCTGACTAGCTTTCTCTCTCTTTCAGAGATCCAGCTGCCATGGGCTGCCCCCTACCCCCAAGGTCCATGTAAGTTTCATTCCTCAACATCTCCCTGCAGGGGGCGCATAGGAGCAGGGCAGGACTGCTGGCTATTTGGGAGCTCCTGGCTACTCAGGTTCAGCCTTTCCTGGTCTCTTCTTCACAGATGGGTGCTTGCTTTTCCAAAGTCTTTAATGGCTGCCCTCTAAAGATCAATGCAGCTGTGACATGGATCCACCCAGAGACACGAGGTAGGACCCCCTCAGCTGCCTCCAGCACAGCTCCTTCCCCATCCCCCGCATTTATACTAAGCCCATCTCTGCCCAGCTACTCCATTCAGGGGAAGGAGGTAGATTCTCCTCCCACATAAAATTCACCTATGCACATGTTCTCTTTCACCTTATGCTGTCCTGTTTCCCCACTACCCTTGGGGCATGTCTTCATTATAGCTGAGCCAATCTGGGGACTTGATCTGTCCCTCCAGGTCCTGGATCCCAGCCACTTAGCTGAAGAGGGGCTTGTGGGTAGAAGGGAAACAGACACACTGCTGGCTTCTAAGTGGGTGCTGAGACTCTGCACCACCCTCAAACCTAACTCTGGCTGGCCTTGTTTCAGATCAGTACCTGGTGGTTGGGGCGGAGGAGGGGATTTACACACTCAACCTGCACGAACTCCATGAGGACACCATGGAGAAGGTGAGATGCCTGAGACAGGGATACAGCTTCATGCTTTAGGAGTTCCTGGCCTCTCCCAGCAGGGGGCGTTGTGGGGGAGCTAAGTGCACCAGTGTTGGCTTCTTCTGGCATGTGGGCACTGTGGACAGCAGTGAGTAACTAAATGATGGGCAACATGGGCAGAGGTAACGGCAGTGCTCGAGTTTCCTGATAAAATTGACTTAAGTATGACTGAAGAACTAACAGGCGAGGTGTCTGTCTGTCCCTCCAGCTCCTGCCCCATAGGTGTTCCTGGCTGTACTGTATGAACAACGTGCTGCTCTCCTTAGCAGGTGAGTGAGAAGAGACCCTTGAGCTGTGCTTCCTCTCAGTATGAAACTACATTCCTTTGGCTGCAGCTACTGAGAGGCACACAGAATGTCATACAAGTTATCAAGGGCATCAGCCAGAGCTGAGGCAGCCCAGAGCTGGGATGATGGGGACTGCAAGCCAGGACTAATATGCACTGACAGAGCTGGGTGTGTGGAGCCTGTGTTGGGATGGCCAGGACTGTGGATGAGGCTGAGGGGCATCGGCAGGGCTGGGTATGGAGGCCTGGTGGAAAGGCTGAGGCTGTTGGCGTGGATGAGGCGCATCGGCAAGGCTGGGTGTGGGGCCAGGGGCTATTGGTGGGGGCAGGGGGACTGGCAGAGCTGAGTGCAGCTCCCTAAGGATAGCACATTAGGCTCCACCATCCCAGGTATTTAATAACAACATGAATGGTTAACCAGTAGGGACTGGAGCAGCTCCCCACTTGCCCTGGACAAGGGGCTGCTTCAGCCCCACATGGCCAACTGCAGGAAGGAGTTGCTCTAACTGGCTGGCCAGAGCAGCCCCCTGCCTGTTCCCCCTTTAATGGGTTAAACAGTTGAACATTTTTACTCAGTTAACCAGTTAAACAGGATTTTACATCCATAGTATCTAATGTAGCTCTCTCTCTGCAGGGAAATCCTCCCAGATCTCCTCTCACAACCTCCTGGGCCTCTTTGAGCAGCGAAGGCAGCTGCAGAAGCGGCAGGTTCCCCTCTCCATTGCTACCAACCGGCTGACCGAGCGCATTATCCCCAGGTGCTGTGCGTGGCCCCACATCCGAAACCTCACCAAGACAGGATGGAGTTGGGGTCAATCCATGGATGCTGCTGGGCATCCTTACAGCCCTTCAGCCTGAAATCCCCTCATGTTTCCTTAGGGCGCAGGATCCTCTTGGATTTGTTCAATGGGCCCCTCTTCCCCTCTCCACCCTGGGTTCCTAGAGGCCCTCCCACTCCATGCCTACCAACCTGAGCCAGACCACTGGGCCCGTATACCCTGATCTCCTGCTGGATGCATCATTGTCCAATGCTAGCTGATGGGAGAAGATCCTTCCTGACCTCCCTGCTTGTAGTCAAGCCCTGAAACCTGACCTTTGTGCTATATACACTGCCACTACCCAGTGCTAAGACTAAGAGCCTGGTAGTGAATTTCCCAGAGGGACTGGGCCTGGGCATTGAGAGGAAAAAGAGAACAGAGTTAAACTGGCTAATGGTAATGAACTGGGAGCTAAATTCTTCACCTTGAAGGTTTAAGAAAATCTCTGTAGGGATTAGGATGAGACCTTTGTGAGGACAGATTACCCCACATTGGCTTGATGTGGGACTTCCTCAGAAGCCATTGTCAGGGATTGGATAGTGGGCTCCAGACCCCCGGGCCTGATCCACTCTGATGGCTCCCCATAGTAGGTGCATGGCTACATGTCTCAATCCTAGCAGCGGCCACTCTGAAAACTCCCCCATCCTTGCTTCAGCTCTCCTCCAGTTCTTTGTTTCTCCACTGTCTGGTAGCAACGTTCCATGAATTAACTGACACAGTAGGTGGGTTTGAATCATGCCTGGCTGTAGAATCCCCTCTGCATTCCACCTCATCCTGCCCTCTTTCATCCTCTGGTGGCAGCTCACTCCTTCCTTCTGGTCTGTTCCTCGTCCCTGCAGGAAGTTTGCACTCTCCTCCAAGATAGCAGATACCAAGGGCTGCCTCAAGTGCCGAGTAGGTGAGTAGAATCCTGATGTGCCATTAGGGTGCTTCCTGTAGGCCAGATTGCTGTTTTTCTGGGCATATGGGGAGCCCCTCAATTGATTGCTCCCCTCTCAGGGGAACACTCATCTGCCTTGGTTGCCTTTCAGTTCGGAACCCCTATTCTGGCAACACTTTCTTGTGCGCTGCTCTCCCCTCAAGCCTGGTGCTGTTGCAGTGGTACGAACCCTTGCAGAAGTTCATGCTACTGAAGGTAGGTTGGGAGGAGGGGGAGTTCTGGAGCCACAGATGAACCTGACAGTTGCATTGACTCTGATGGATGCCTGCATGGAGCTAAAATCTGCAGGGCACTGCTCTGGGGGCGCGTGGAGCTTGTAGTACTTGCCCTAGACTAGATGCTGCTCTGGTGGGGGAAAATGGCCAGTTTCACTGATGGCACTGCCCTAGGGAAGCTTGCCATGTGGGAGAACCCGTTGTTGCTAAGATCTCAGCCTCCCCTTCCTCACCCCAGCATTTTCCTGTGGCCCTGCCCATGCCCCTGAGCCTGTTTGAACTGCTGGTGGTGGAGACGGAAGAGTACCCCCAGGTGTGTGTGTGTGTTGTGGACCGAGACCAGCCGGGCCAGGAGCTGGAGTTTAACGTCATTTCACTCAGCACCAACTCCAGCCTCAACATTGACAGCCCTGCAGGTAAGCGACACCTCAGTGGGAAACTGGACATGGAGTCTTTCCCCTTTAGGGGAAACTAACACACATGGGCCCCAGGGTGGCAGGGGACTGGAACTCAGGGTCTTTCCCCTCTGGAGGAATTGACCAGCCGGGCCAGGAGCTGGAGTTTAACGTCATTTCACTCAGCACCAACTCCAGCCTCAACATTGACAGCCCTGCAGGTAAGCGACACCTCAGTGGGAAACTGGACATGGAGTCTTTCCCCTTTAGGGGAAACTAACACACATGGGCCCCAGGGTGGCAGGGGACTGGAACTCAGGGTCTTTCCCCTCTGGAGGAATTGATGTGAGCGTAAGTCCCACCCCCAGCATGCCCCCGCCAGTCCCACCCCCATTGGCTCAGGCCTGGCCACTGTCGATGCTGACAGCCTCTCTTTCTTCCCACAGGCTATGTAAGGACAGTGAACTTGTGTGGGGCCCCCAAGAGAGCCCTGGCCTCAGAGCTCACTTTCAACTTCCCCATTGAGACAATTGGTGAGTGGGGGAAGGTCTCTTGGGGATAGAGCTTCCACTGGCCTGCTTATCTCCCGCATTCCAGCTTGGCCTGGTGATCTCAGGGGTTGTCCAACCTTCTCTTCCTCCTGTACTCTCCTACCTGCCCTGATAAGTGTCCTCCACATGCCAGCTTTCCAAGATGTGGTCATCCATAACACCTGCCACTCACCCCTGTCTTTCTGTCCTGCCCACCACAGTGTGCCTTCAAGACAGTGTGCTGGCCTTCTGGAAACATGGCATGCAGGGCCGCAGTCTGGAGAGCAATGAGGTGAGTGCAGGTCAGGGCTTGGGTGGATGCATCTACCTATCTTCCCTAGATGAGGGGGGATCAGACGCTGCAGGGGGGAATAACTTGGAGATGATGTATGCAGAGGTAGTATTGCTCCTGAGGGAGACTCTGTGATATAGGATCTATCCCCATCGTTGGGTAGGGGATGGAGATGCATTGACCCAGTAGGGATCTGGGCTGGGAGAACTCTGTGCTGATCTGAACCTTCTCCTTGACAGGTGACCCAAGAAATCACAGATAAATCCAGGATGTTCCGTGTGCTGGGAGCCAACAGGTGAGACCCCCAAAGTGAGGATGTAGTCATGGCAGATGGCAGCAAGCAATTCTTGTCCCGCTGTCTCCACCCTCTGATCAAGTGGTATGGCTGCCCTGCTATAGCTCGCTACCCCCAGTCTGGCTGCGGTAGGAACCTGTTGCCAGCCTGCAAGGCTGGGACAGTGGGAAAATTATCTGGGAGACCAGGAGCTGAGAACTTTTTTCCTTCCTCTTGCCTAGGCCAGATCACTTTAGTAGCTGGTCTCCATCTTGCACACTCTAGTGTGTGCATCCTGTACCCTTGATCCTGTGGGATGTTACATGACTGGGTGGATTTGCAGGCTTGTCAGGGTTTGGGCTGCATTCTGGGCAAGCCAGAGGTTGCATGGTGAATGTGCTGTATTAGGGACTGGGTTTGTATAACTGGGATGAAGTTATGCTGCTGTGCTTATCATTGCAGTATCAGAGCACGTGCCAGGAGCACATTAAGCATAAAGTGGTGGTTCTTTTGTCATCTTGCTAAGGGAGAAGCATGTGTGGGGAGTTTAGTTTGGGTTTATACAGCCAGTCCCCGACTTACGTTCCAAACACCTGATTGTAACTCCATTTGTTCGTAAGTCGGAAATACATGCTTTTACATACAGCCACACTGTTCGTAAGTGTGGATGGTGCATTCGTTAGTCGGGGACCAGCTGTAATGGGATTAATGGGAGGTTGGTCATAAGTGTGGATGGTCATAAGTCGATGCTTTTGTAAGTCGGGGACTGGCTGTATAATGAAATGCTGTTATGTTTATATGAGAAATGATGAGGTCAGATAAATGTGCCCAGCACTTGAACCAAGAGTTGATTTTGCATGGTTGGATTGGAGAGGCTGATTTTGCATGGTGGCCAAGGTTGTGTGATTGGGTTGAGGGGGGAGGGCTGGAGTTGCGTAGAGGGTTTGGTTTTGTGTGATAGGTAGACTGCATTCATGGCTGTGGGACTGGAATGGGGTCTAGATTGGGTGGTGGAATACATTCATGGCTGGGGCTGGCTTTGCTGAGTTGCATTCCTAGCTACATCTCTCAAGTCACCTTTGAGCAAAACAGTCGTCCTGTTCTGCTCAAAAAACATTCTGACCATGAATTGTTAGTCTTTAAGGCTCCATAGTTGTTTTTGCGGAAACAGACTAACACAGCTACCTCCCTGAAATTTCTTTCCAGAGATGTAATCCTGGAGAGCACGCCTACGGAGAATCCTTTAGCTCACAGCAACCTCTACATCCTAACGGGGCACGAGAGCAGCTATTGAGTATGTGGAACTGCCTTTCCAACATCCCCATGGGGATGGATGCAGAGCCCCAGTGCAAGGGGAAATTCTGCTGTGATGATTTAAACTACTGATTTCTGAGATAGCAGGAGCCTAGGGAACTCTTCCCATGAGCAAGGTCCATCTTGTGTTGTGGGAATCCATGCCAGATGGATTCTATTTTATAAACTCTACAGTCCACCTCTTCTGTTGTCCAAAGTCTTCCTGAGATACTCCTGTTTTTCAGAAGTGTATGGAGAGATTCCTTCTGCCCTTTTAGAGTGAGCATCTCCTGAGACTCTTATGTTTGCAATAATTGACTACCAGCCAGTCCAAAGAAGCCTCCTTAGTCTGTCTTGACTGATACTTGTGCCTGCTGAATGCTTCCTCTTCTCTCCTCCCCACCCCATTCTTAATCCTAAGAAGGGGGTCTTCTGGAGAGACATGTTGTGAAAGTGTCCTCCTCCAGCTTCAACATGAAGACAATCCATTTTCCAGTGGGTGCATTCTTTTTCCTATGTAGCACTTAAGGTCCAGAAATCTGGCAAACATCTTCAGCAAAAGGAGTGGGAAAGCAATTCTGTGTCTTCTCATTCAAAGTGTAAGCAACAAGCAAAGCTTGAGGTGGGACAAACCTGTTGAATCAGTGGCTGGGATACCTATTTGACTGTTTTGGTAATGGTTGGGCAGGTTGCTTGGCTGCATGAGTTCTGATGAGGGGAAGAGTGTGATGGCTGGTTGGGCATAGGTTGGCTGGTTTAAGTAGCTGGGTGATGGCTTGGTGGCAGAGAGTTGAGTGCTTGTTGGTAGGGAGTGGTGATTAGCAGGATGAGGTGGTGGTTTGGTTTGGAAGTGGCTGGGGCAATACTTGGGTGAATGAGGGGAAATATGGGTTTGGCTGATGAGGCAATGTGAGGGACTTGTTTAGTGAGTAAGCCAATTGCTTCGCAGGGTGGGGTGGCTGATTGGTATAAAAGAGGTTTGAGAGTATCTGCTACAGAGAGACTGGATGCATGGTTGGCATTTTGAGCATGAAAAGATGGGTGGGTGGATGGATGGATGGATGACTGTTTTAAAATGAAGCAGACTGCTTCACTACCAGGCAGTGTGTTAAACTGGCTGGCTGTTGGGATGCCTTGTTCTTTTGCTGCCTTGGAAAACTGTGCCAATCCTAAATGCCATTGTGACAGAGATCAGAATCTTGGGGCCAACAGCTCTACTAACTCAGGCAGTGGAAGCTTCCCTTTCTGTTTTGCTAATTTCTCTGTTTTTTAACTGAGAGCTGGAATTTATGGATAAAAAACAAAACTTGAAAAAATATGCTATTTAAGAGATATATTGATATTAAATGTGTCTTTTGTTTGCTTGGTGTTAATTGGCTGAATCATTCCTAGGGGAGAGCCATTGGGGCCTCTTTGCCTATTCAGGTCCACTGCTGTCCTTTCTAGTTTTTATTGCTGTCACACTAATTGGTAAGGACTGGTTTTCAGTCCTGCCTGAAACCCCCTTCTTCCTCCATGAGAACTGTTGTTTATCATGGGGTGGGGTAATAGTCCCAGCCACTATCACTGGGACCTGGGCAGGGGTAAGGAGAACACAGTTGTGTGTTTGTGGGCTGGGACTACGCTCTCCTTGCAAGTGAAATGTAGCCTCGGAGAAGGGCTGAAGACTAGGGATGTAAAACATGTATTTGTGTAAACATGTAACCGCTGGGTTCTTAGCAGTTACAGGCAGCAGCAGTCAGTGCTTGTGGGGAGCTGGCTTTTAAGCCGTAGCCTTCACCTCCCGGCTCACCCCTATAGTTTTGCTGTGCACCACGGTGCAGGTGATGTGGCCTAGCACCGCCTTCCCCAAGCCTAGTTCCCAGGAGCCCCTCGGGCTGCAGCAAGGTGAGGAGGAGGAGGCTAGGCTCCCATGAGCCCCTGACAGGGGGAGGCGGTGCCTGCACTCACTGGGGCTCTGGGGCACAGCTTCGCACCCAGGATCGCTCCCGCCCTATCATTCACCAATCAGAGAATGCTCCGTTAATTGAAAGACCCTTTCACCAATCATGGGCGACTGCGCTGCGCTCTGCCCAATAAGAGGAAACCTCCGCATTAACGTCACGACCAACCGACCCCGCACTGTACGGGGTTTTCCAACGACCTTTGCAAAACCTCTAAGGCGCGCCGCGAGTGTCGCAAGACCGCCCCCTCCCCCAATCCAGACGCAGCTCGATATCCCGAGAGCCCGCCCTCCGTCTCTTCAACCAGTCCTAACACGGAAACCTAACTGTGTTCCCGCCCACCGTGCCACACTGCAAGTACCGCGCCTTAAATGCCCAGTCAACCAATCATAACTTGTCTTTCATCCCTCCTTCTCACGCATACTGCCGCTCAACCATTCCCATCACTGTTCGCTAGAGAGTGACATCTCATCTGACCTATGGGTGTTGCCTTCAGCACTTGTCTCCTCTCCTCCAATGACTTTCTTTCACTGGAGCGGCTCGGCCAATGTATCAGCGCGGTTGGCT